AAGTGAACTCAAAATGTGTCCTCAACATCTGTGCATAAAATAGTCAAAATGTGTCCTCAACATCTGTGCATAAAATAGTAAAAATGTGTCCTCAACATCTGTGCATAAAATAGTAAAAATGTGTCCTCAACATCTGTGCATAAAATAGTCAAAATGTGTCCTCAACATCTGTGCATAAAATAGTCAAAATGTGTCCTCAACATCTGTGCATAAAATAGTCAAAATGTGTCCTCAACATCTGTGCATAAAATAGTCAAAATGTGTCCTCAACATCTGTGCATAAAATAGTCAAAATGTGTCCTCAACATCTGTGCATAAAATAGTCCATGTTAAAATGTTAGGTTTCTTAAACCCTTTATGTCAACTTCGCTTTTTTTTTATTTTCGCGTGTTTCCGGCTGGGTGGTAAAAATCTTTGGGCGGCCAATTGACCCACTTCCCGCAAACCTATCGAGATGAAACTTAACACATAAACTTACTAACCATGACAAAACATTCTTAACAATTTTGAGCCCCACCCCAACCCCCATAAAATAAAAAAAAAATAACCATTTTTTCAAGGGGAATTTCAAGTAATAACGGATGCCACGGAAAAATCCCGACAACTGAGCGATCAGAAATTCGTAAAAAAATATCTCATGTGCGTTAGGTGTGTAACAATTTTCTTTTATTTTTCTGAAATAGTTGGTGAAATAAATCTGCGGTGTAGAAGCGGGTCGGAAATTAGAATATTATTATACAATTTTTTTTTAAATATTTTTTTTTAAAATGCATATAAAGGTTTAATAGGTAAACCTATTCTCTTTAGGGGCTACTTAATCAAATCTGATCTATTAACAGTATTTCATTTTGACTAAATAGAGAGAAAACACTATTAGGCGCACGTACCAGGAAATCATGGAGAGAGAAAAAAAACAAGAGAAATCACAAACGTGGCTGCCCGAAATAACTAGCACCATGTTAATCGTTAATCTTAAGTTATACTTCCCCCCCCCCCCAAAAGGATACAAGCGGTTCACTGAGGATGTCCTGCTCATGGTCGGAGACGTCCGAAGCACCAGAATCATCTTCTACGCCTCCTCCCTATGGACCTGGATATTCTTTGCCCCNGTCCGAAGCACCAGAATCATCTTCTACGCCTACTACATATGGAACTGGATATTCTTTGCCCCTGTCCTTATACTGGTCAGTGTGTCAATAATTGTTGACAACTCAACACATCTTATTTTTTTAAAATTATTTAATCATTTAAATTTGGGACAATAAATTAATGTGTTTTTGTTTTTGTTTTTTTTTGAAAACATATATATTGATAATGAAGTTCGTAACTTATAATTCAAAATTATCACGATCTAAGATATGACAAAATTTAAATGGCCGGTAAATGAATATTTTAAACCATGATTAGCATTCTGACAATGTTTTTAATTAGTTTATATTCATCACAATGCACTCCGGCGCCCCCCCCCCACCAGACGGCCAGGCTTTTATCTGGTTTGGTGGGGGGGGGGTGTAAGGCATTATCTAATTACAGATGAACAGTTTCTACAGACCCCCCCCCCCCTTTTTTTTCACACTATTATAATATTTGAGTGTTTCTTCTATGAACCAATCACAGATGATCATTTTTCCATGTTTCACCAGGCTATCATCGTGTTCGAGTGTGTCCAGTACGAGCCCATCATAGATGAGCACTACCCAGACTGGGCTGAGGCTTTGGGTTGGCTCATCGTGGCTGCCGTCATGATCTGGACACCGGCCTGGTACATCATCAAGTTCTTGGTAGAGTGGAAGAAGAACAACTTCAGGAAAGGATGGAAGGTAAAGGAATGTACTCCAGAATATGACGCTTTGGAGTGTTGGACGAGAGGGGAAAAGAATATCGCATAAGCTTACTAGCTCCGGATAAAGATCTGTGAAAAAAAAAAGGGGGGGGGGCTTAATTTCGATCCCCTCTCCCGAATAGCGTCACTAGGGGGGGGGAATGGGAGACAACATCGACTGGCACAATGGGATCTATGTATTAGCTTTACGTTAACTAAATGTTGATGTGTTGTTGTTTTTTGTAGGACGTTATTTTAAGTGTGCATACATCCGCAGCAGTTAGTTCAAGTGCCCCCCCCCTTTTTGGTTCCCCAGCAGCCCCCCCCCCCCTCACCAAAATTATTATGCTTCATTTTGAGTTGGAGTCAAACTTTTGTTAAACATCCCAAATGAGAATGTTGTTTTTTGTAGGACGTTATTTTAAGCTTGCATACACCCCCCCCATTTACTTCAAGTGCCCCCCCCCTTTTTGGTTCCCCAGCATCCCCCCCCCCCCCTCACCAAAATTATTATGCTTCATTTTGAGTTGGAGTCAAACTTTTGTTAAACATCCCAAATGAGAAATAATGAAGTATATCTTTTTAACGACCAGCCGCTTATTCCCTGAAACACTAAGATAAAATTGAGCTGTTTATATTATTCATCACGGTTATCATCGAACGACCGACAGCCTTCACAAATTCTCTGCATGCTGTACTCAAACGACGATAATCTTCCCGCTGTACTCAAACGACGATAATCTTCCCGCTGTACTCAAACGACGATAATCTCCCCTTCTGATGCTCTCAGTCGTAGTCAAAGTGTCCCGTCTTGTGTTGATTCACATGACTTTTCGTCACCCACTCCCCATAATTCCATAACTTGCTATATATGTAGATGCCATACAAGTCACTGCCATGCATTACATCATTACAAGTACGTTCAAGAGACAAAATTTAGTCAACCGAAGAAAAAGGTGCGGGGGCAAGTCACGTGACTCGTTCTTCTTTAAGAGTGTCCAGCGATGTGGCTGGCATGAAATATTGCTTGATGTGATATGACGTCATCCCTTACCACTCCACATTTCCTCTCTTGATGTGATATGACGTCATCCCTTACCACTCCACATTTCCTCTCTTGATGTGACATAACGTCATCCCTTACCACTCCACATTTCCTCTCTTGATGTGATATGACGTCATCCCTTACCACTCCACATTTCCTCTTCCTTTGTACAGCTCTTCGTCAAGCTCAACAACCCCACCATAAAATGGGGCCCGAAAGATCCGGAAAACAGAACCCTCCCCCGGTACAGGCGGTACTTGGACCAGGACAAGACGCTATCGGACCCTGAGATGCAGAGTGGCAATGATATCCAGACCGTTGACAAACCGCCACCCTATTCCACATTTTCTGGTCAAATCAACGAGGGCTTTCAATATGATGTTGTCACACCTTTGTAATCTATAAGATCTAAGTCGGTTGGGCCATGTAATTTTAAGCACTCACAGTAGATAAAAAGACGAGGACTATAAGAGATTTATTTTTTTTTAAAAATTACTAATCCAGTCACAATGGAAACAAAAATCTCATCTCAGGGGAATTAACTTTAATGAAAATTAAAGGGAGATAATCGAGAGAGAGAGAAAAAAAACACGAAAACTGGGTTGTCTGCTTGGAACAAAGATTCCAAAACTGAGAGAAATGTTAATTGCTTCTCCGTTTACTGCTATCTTGTGAATAAGTCTAAAACGTGTTACATTTCTTACTGCCATGTTGTGAGTGAATCTAAATTTTGTTACTTTTCTTACTGCCATCATGTGAAAGAATCTAAACCTTGTTAACATTTCTTACTGCCATTTTTTGAATAAATCTAAAACTTGTCAACATTTCTTACTGACATTTTGTGAATAAATCTAAAACATTTTAACATTTCTTACATCCTTGCTGTGAATAAATCAAAATTTAGTTACTTTTTTGACTGCCATTATATGTTTATTATTATTATTATTATATATCATTATTATGTTTCAGAATTATTTTGGTCCCATTCTTTTTATTTTAAAATTCCGCAGTGTGCTAAATTTTAATTAAAAACGAAAAAAGACAAGCACTCTAACTAAGCTCACTGAATTCTTAATGTTAACCTTTGACCCGTGACTCTCATGTTTTAGTTGTAATCGAGCAAAAGCAGAGAAGGGCGACTGAGTCGTAGCGAGAGTGTCTGACATGGCCGTCTCTTGATTGGTTTCAAAGAAATGTTGGACTGTAAAATGAAGGTTATTTTTTTTTTTTAAATGTTTTCTATGCTTTTATTTACAACAATTAAACATTACATAACTATTCACAGAATACACGTTTTAGATAATGTTGGCTTTTTGCTTGCGTCCGAAACACACCGTTCAATAACTCAGTCTCTGACTACAGCCTCTCTGGCTATTGTTGAGAATCATACCCATGACGTCATTTGCGTGCTTATTATAGTTGCAGTGAATTAGGGTTTAGGTAGGTTGAGGGATCGATTAAGGGTTCAGGTTAGGCATAGGGCTCGATTTAGGGTTCAGGTTAGGCATAGGGGTCGATTTAGTTTAGGTTTAGAGACAGAATTGGTGGTCTGGAGTTCAATTCCAGCCAGAGCCCAGTCAAGCAATAACACCACCAGCACCCCGGGTAGATGAGACTCGTTAACCTTGGATGGCAACTCATCTAAGAGAAGGAAACTCTGAAATCAAACCCAGAGATGGAGTTCCGAAAGGCGATAACATTGATACAATGAAACATTCCGGCAACTCCTGCGACGTCACTGGTGCCAAGATGTATCATACAAATGATGTTCCCTTGGGTTACCCAGAGGCGTGGAGAGAGGCGATTTGCAGTTGGGAACCAGCTTATAATCCTTGAAAGTATAATCCCAGGCCATGTGGAGTTCGTCCTCCGAAGCCCACTCCATCGTCACATTGTGACGGACGGATGCCAGAAAAAAAAAAAAAAAAAAAGAGACAGAATTAACTGGTTGTGTCAACCAGGATGGCGGAAACCCCGGGTAGCTTTCTCAACATTTACCCATTTGTTGGTTAGAGATATTCTTCACTGAGAACTTTCTATCCACGATACGCCTTATCATTAAAATTACACCATTTTAGTACTAAAACTATTAATTTAAAAAAATAAACATAAACAAAACAACCCATTAAGTTTACTTGAATCGAATGAGTTTAATTGCTACACGCTAATCTGCTTACGCTTCGTCTTGCTTTGAGCACTTTATGGTAAGTCTTACCCTCATAAAAGATATTTTCTGAAGCATGATAGCGGCACATATTTTAATTAATGCCTTGGACGCCATGTCTCCTCTGAATACCTTGGGAGATTGTGACATGAAAAGAGAATGGGGGGTGCAGCTGGAAATAAGCAAGACCTGAAAGTCACGGCATTTGACTGTTGGGTAAAAGAGCATTTTTTTTAAAAAAAGTAATCCACTCAACGTGTAGCACATTTACATCGAGCACAGGGGGGGGGGAGGGGGGCGCGAAAAAAAGTATTGGAGAACGTGGGGAAAATATTCCAAATTTAAATATAAGGTTTAAAGATACCAAAGATGGTAAAATGTTGCGAATTAAAGATATCCAAAATTTAAATACAAGATAGTAAAGATACTAAATAGGGTAAATTATTGCATAGTAAATGTACCCAAAATGATAAATGTATATAAAAGTAAAGACATTCAACGTTTTGCACGTTTTGTCCAATTGTGTTCATCTCACTACCAAGACTAAAGTATCCCATCTCACTGCCAAGACTAAAGTATCCCATCTCACTACCAAGACTAAAGTATCCCATCTCACTACCAAGACTAAATTATCCCATCTCACTGCCAAGACTAAAGTATCCCATCTCACTACCAAGACTAAAGTATCCCATCTCACAACCAATACTAAAATATCCCATCTCACTACCAACATTAAAGTATCTCATCTTACTTGGGAAAACTTCCCAGTGCCTTTTAAAAGCAACAAAAATTTCCTCCTAAATAAATGTAATATTCATTAACAACTCGAGCAACTTGATGCCCTAGGACGCATCAGGATCCCTGAAAACGTGAGGCCTTTGCCAACTGCCCTATGTACTCATGCATTAAGAATGCACTGTAAGAGAAGACAGCTAGATGAGCGATTCCAGACTTTTTTTTTTTTTTTAATGAGGATGATTTGGAGTACAAAAAAAGGTGGAGATCTTACATAGATTGAATGTATTGATTCGGATGTGCAACTAGTAAATTGAATTTTTAGTTTTTTTAGGATATCATTATTGATTTATAGCTAAATCTAAACCTAGCAACTTTTCCCGACAATAACAACTGTACTTTGAAAAAAAAAAAAACATAATTTAAATCCAGTGAATCACGCTTATATTCGGACTCGTGGCATGGCTCCCAAAACTACGTAATTTTAATTCCCATTTTTTTTAAGGAGTCTAAAACTATATTTTCACGGACGACACAAACATAATTTCATTAATATTGGTCAATGTTAAAAAAATCAAGTACTTCCTCAATACTAGGGACGAGCCCCCCCCCCCAAAAAAAAATATGTTATTTAATTAAAGTAACCGTAAATATTCCTTCTGTTTAAAAAAATTACAACTCTTACGCCAAGAATATTTTAAAAAACAGTTTAAACGCATCCCGACTATAAANTTTTTTAAGGAGTCTAAAACTATATTTTCACGGACGACACAAACATAATTTCATTAATATTGGTCAATGTTAAAAAAATCAAGTACTTCCTCAATACTAGGGACGAGCCCCCCCCCCCAAAAAAAAATATGTTATTTAATTAAAGTAACCGTAAATATTCCTTCTGTTTAAAAAAATTACAACTCTTACGCCCAGAATATTGTAAAACACAGTTTAAACGCATCCCGGCTATAAACAAAATCAGTTATTTGCATGGACCCCCAATTACTAAGCAGGAAATCAATACTAACTACGGAAGCGAGTGTTAATTTTGAGAATAAAACATTTAAAAAAAAGAAGCAGGCCGACAGAAACAAAATAAAACTTAATTCATAGATTACAAACAATGGATCTTAATTTATTTAACATCCAGGTATGTTTAAAACAACTTGGAAGCCTAAATCAAAGCATTGATAAAATTAAGTATAAAATATTCCACTCGAAACACATAATTTTTTATTTTTTTTCGAGTGAATATTCCAGCGTTGAAATAAAAGCATGGATACAAGATTACTTTCTACATTGTCATATCCTACACTTAATTATTACACACAGTCTTTTAACTGACGAAACAAACAATTTAAAGTAATTTTATTTTTTTAAATCAAGCCGATGAGTTGTTTATGAATCATTGTACAATCATCATGGTAATATTGTTGATTGTCAAACTTAATAGTGCCTAAAAAATACTTTATATCTATTATTCAGACAATTTTCAATTACCTACATGATAGAACTATCCCGCGCAATGCAAAGGTAATAAGCAGTCATATTATTTCAATATATACCCAACCCCAACTTTTTAATTTGTTCAGCACTTGCAATAAACTCGCAATAAAATAATGAAAATGGTTCTCGAAAATGAAATTTTAAAAAACCTTGGTGGAATAAAGTATCAATATCCCCCAAGTGTCCCCCCACCCCCCCCCCTAAAAAAAAAATAAATAAAAAAAAATAACAGTGTATTTCGAAAAATTAAAGATGTTAGTAAATTAATAATCATAATTCAGTGTTAAAACTCTTTTAAATGTATCAGAAAGTCTTCAAAAACTTATCAGAAAGCCATCATGTAATCTCTTAAAAGCGATTCAAAATTATTCGAGCTACGTCAGATAGACTACATTTGATTTTAAAAAATCAAATAAGCAAAGCAATTTATGAAAACATATGGCTCTGGTCATGCATCACTGGGCCCTGGTCATGCATCACTGGACCCTGGTCATGCATCACTGGGCCCTAACTTAGCGACGTTGCGGAATGTGGTGCCCATCGGCGTAGGGGATGGTCTCCGTGATTTCCGCCACGTTCTTGTCCGGCTGAGTGGCATTCAGCGCCGGGACGGGGAAGCTGCCTTCATTGGTTGACCGTTTGCCCACGTAGCCGCTGATGGAAGAGAAAGGTCATGGGTCAGCCGCCACGTGAACACTTACTGCTTATCTACGCTAACACCTTCCCTACGTGTTAAAAATTGCCAATGTTACAAAATAAAGTCCTGTTTTTTTTAATTATTATTAGAGTTTAGTGCTCGAAGACGCATATTTTCAAAGATTAGAACTATAGTATCGTGGTTAGAAATTATCGTTGAAGAATGTTTCCCAAGGGTCAGTAAGGAATATATCAACTCACGCGCAGTAGCCGCAGCACAGGTTGCTCCCATAAGTAGGACAGACCGAGGCCTTGGTGTATTTGACACAATCCACGGACTTGTCACCGTATTCACAACCTGGTGAAGAAATATCAAGTCAGAGGTCACACACTTTGTAGCTTAATATAGGGAATATATATGTATATTATATATATATATATATATATATATATATATATATATATATACATATAATATATATATTGGGGAAGCGTTCAAGCCGTTAAGTAAATCAATATTGGAACGAGATGTGTTAAGCTTTTAACAAAGTTGACCTGTCTTTTTTCAAAGCTTAAACATACCTTGTTCAACTACTTCTTCTTTTTACTTCTGGACTTCCTAAATCGCTATGAGTTCCATGATTATCATGGACTAGTAAATTAATGTTGTACTATTTAATCATTGTTTGACCCGTACATCATCAATAACTGACCTTTATATCAATTTTCTGACGAGAAAATTTCTGTTTTTTTTTGTTTGTTTGTTTTTTAACTCACCGACTCTTCCGGTATTGTATGACTTGCACGTGGCACAGCAGGATTCGTTGATGGGTGACGAGTAGCAGTTGAAGGCCTTGTAGGCGGAGATAAAGGTCGGACACGTGCCGTAAAAGTTCAAGGTCGGGAACTCGAGCGTCTTCTGGTCACCCCAGACACAGTTAGCTGAAAAGTGAAGTGGATAGCTACAACAGTGAATGAACATCTAGCTTGAATTAGTGAAGTAGTACAGCTGCTTGCTGGCTTGCACGTGAAGGAAACGGTTTTCTGGATGGTGAAATCAAAACACCTGAACGATATATGGGACCGGGTGGCGGGGGCTGGGGTCAAACATATTTATTTATTTTATTTTTTTTAAACAAGAAAAGGTAACTAGGTTTCATTTTATGCCAACGAATGACCTGTTCTTTTTTTAAACTGATTTTTTTTTCATACAGACGATATAAAATGAAAACAAATGAACGTTCCACCAGTGTGCACTGCATTAAAACCACGGCAATGATTTTGTAATCACCAGGTCTAAATATATACTGATGTGCTTTGCTCACTAGCTGGTTACTATGTTATGTCAGACTTACGGTTCACATTCTGAGTCTCGGTGGTGCGGTCTACAACACACTGCCCCTTGCTGCATCTCTGGAGGGAAAAAAACAACAACATTAAAATTAGACAGAGACAACTGTTTGTGGGACTTAATGTTATTAATTGGTGAGTCAAGACTGCGTTATAGTCATTGTTGTGTTACACATTCTAACGTCATACATTGGTGAGACATGCATTCTAACGTCATACATTGGTGAGAAATGCATTCTAATGTCATACATTGGTGAGATATGCATTCTAATGTCATGCATTGGTGAGATACACATTCTAATGCCATTCATTGGTGAGATACTTATTCTATCGCTATCTAAACACATCTTACACTCGCATTTCTAAAACAGCTTGTTAAGACAAAGTTCAACTCACCTTGCTTCTGTCACAGACCATTCCATCAGAGGTAAAGACAGAGGTGCACGTCATGGTGTTGGGGACCCTGCAGTAGATCTGCGAGCAGACGGCGTTGCCACGTGGGGGCAGGTTGTTGTAGGTGGCGGGGAGGCTCTGAGCAAACGAAGAAAACGCTCAATAAAGTCATTGATTTGACTCAAGCGAAGGAAAGATTCAAATCCATGAATCTACTTTATTCAAGCTAGGGAGGTTGTTTGTTTGTTTGTTTGTTTGTTTGTTTGTTTTTGTAAGATTACGTTAATATATTTCATAAATGCGTTTACTTGCGATGGGGAGACTAACATATTCCCTTGGGTGGGAGGAAAAAAAAGGGGTCAGGTAGGAGATTTTCTTGATTAAACTACAGATCATACAATGGCCTTCAGCACTTTGCTACATGAGCTGCTTGGTTATTTATGACCAGCCCCGTAAAAACCCTTGCCCTTTAAGAATTTTTTTTTTCAAGTTGCCTCCATCACTAATGTAATGCGGTAGTGGCGGGGACGAAACGGATTCCTTTGGAATACTCATTTCAACAGGGTGGACTCATTTGTTTGAAAAATACCTTGCACATGTAAGTCCTGGTGTCATTGAGGGCGCGCTGGCAGATGACGTCGGGTTTCAGAATGTTGCCGGTGTAGCTGGTCACCGAAAAGGAGGGCTTGGTGGACTGCGAGCTTGAGGACAGCAGGCAGTTGACGCTGGAGAGACAAGGGACAACAAGAAACTAATGAAATATAATGGGTTATTAGGAACTGGAACAAATTTTTACGCGGTCAATAACTCATCAGTGGTTAGCTGACGAAAGGCATTCCTCCATAACAAGGTGTCTTCAAGAATTGTTGTGCCTTCTGAAGCCTTAAAAAAATAACATACGTTTCTGCAACCACCACATAACAAAAATATATATTTATTTTTTAAAATACCTTTTCGTTGAATGCCAAGTGTTGAAAATTTTTTTTTTTTTACATTTAATTCAGTTTCAATTACTCACGGCAGGAGTCTCAAGTAATCCTTGATGCTGGTGGCAGAGCATGTGGAGTATGACCATCTGTTAATGTCTGTTGGGGTGTTGAGGGAAGCCATCACGTTGCTAGAGGCCGCCCCATCATTGTTGGCGCCCAAACTGGGGATACGGGAAATTAGAGCAGGTCAAGAAAATGCCTGGCTTGTAACAAAAGTTGAAAAAGGGGGGGGGGAAAGGATGCATCTAAGGGAAGGTAGTGTGGTATGGCAAGTGTGCTAGTGTGGAATAGTAAGTGTGAGTGTGGGATGGTAAGTGTGAGTGTGGGATGGTAAGTGTGAGTGTGGGATGGTAAGTGTGAGTGTGGGATGGTAAGTGTGAGTGTGGGATGGTAAGTGTGAGTGTGGGATGGTAAGTGTGAGTGTGGGATGGTAATTGTGAGTGTGGTATGGTAAGTGTGAGTGTGGGATGGTAAGTGTGAGTGTGGGATGGTAAGTGTGAGTGTGGGATGGTAAGTGTGGCATGGTAAGTGTGGTAGTTGGTTAGGTGAGTGTGGTAGTGGGGAATGGTGAGTGTGGTAGTGTGGGATTGGTAAGTGTGGTTCGTTGGATGAGAAGATAAGTGAGGGTTGGTACGTGCGGTGCTGTCGGTTTGAGTTTCTAGTTATGGGTGGGTGTGTGTGTCTGTTAGACAGTAGTTGTGTCGGTGAGACAGTAGGTAAGTCGGTGAGCCCATAGGTATGTCGGTGAGACAGTAGGTATGTGTCGGTGAGACAATAGTTGTATGCCGGTGAGACAGTAGGTATGTGTCGGCCAGATGGTAGGTGTTTGAATGGGAGGCAGAACTTTAAGATGTATCAAATTTGTATAACAGCAACATGGCTTTAGGCTAAAAATTATACCGAGATAAGTATGTGAAGGTTAAAACCTTCATCTTTTTTTTTTCTTATATCATCAATGACCTACACGAAACCAATGCTGTGAGCTGTCGCATAAACGTCTCTGTATGTGGGCTGGAACTCAATGATGGCAAGGGAACGTATGCGGTCACAGACGGAAGCAAAGTTTGTGTTGGCTAGAGGAAATGTAAGATAGAGAAATTTTAAATTTAAGGGTAAAATGTACAATTTAGACATTAAAATGTAAGATTCAGAAATAAAATGTAAGATTAAGAAATAAAAATGTAAGATTTTGAAAGAAAATATAAGCTTTAGAAATAAAAATGTACAATTTAGAAGTAAACATGTAATATTTAGACATAAAAATGTAGTATTCAGTAATTGAAATTAAAGATTAAGAAATAAAAATGCAAGATTTAGAAATCAAAATGTAAGATTTCGAAATTAAAATGTAAGAATAAGAAATAAAATGTAAGATTTAGAAGAAAAAATATAAGATTTAGAAATTAAAATGTAAGATTTAGAGATGAAAATTGAAGATTACGAAATGAAAATGTAAGATTTAGAACTAGAGCAGCTAACAATGGTAGAAACTGATAATATCATAAAACACAGTTTAATGTATTTAAAATAACAACCTTGTTTTCCCAACTAGTCATGTATGTACATATATTTATGTTGTATTTATTTATTGTTTATGTATGGTGTGGAGTTATGAGTGATAATCAGACAACAATCCACGCTAAGTGAGTACGATTCCTATTAAGGACTTTTTTTTAGCTCGATACTTTCACTAAATTGTGCAGAGGAAATAACCCTCTAAAATAAACGTAGAATTGACTACTGTGTCATTTACATGTTTCTATCTTGACACCTCCTGTGACGTCATATACAAAGGCACATACTGAGTCACAAGACTAGAGGAGGTGCGTATCATAAAGGGCCCTCACCCCCCCCCCTACCACGGGCCTTACAATTTTGAATAGCACAACACAAACATTAACTCACATGTTTCAAGAAGACCGCCTGATCCATACAGGTCGAATCTAGAGAGATTTATAAAAACAAATATATTTATTTTTTAACCACCCATTTATTATCGACCGTTTTCAATATCTGAACAGCTCTTTTGTATGTTTTTGTGCATATCATATGAATAATATGTATACGTCGTGGCTCTGTACTTTATGAATGCTGTGCTCATTCCGTCAGGACTGACATACATGAAGATGGAAACACTTTTTTTTTGAAGTTCAGTGTGTACCTCTAGGGCAGGGGTCACGCAAACATTTTCACAGCGGGCCGGACAATCATTCTGTACGTTTCGACCAAATGGCAGACGATGCCGAGATAGTTAAGAGATATTTATTAATTACCACCAACTATTTACATCAAACTATTTGATAGCTTGCGTTTTAGAACAAACCCAGAACTAATTTGAAAAAGAATATTTTAATTTTAGTTTTAGAGGTCAAAACCCGGTAGAGTCCATGTTATATATATATATATATATATATATATATATATATATATATATNATATATATATATATATAATGATCATAATGTGCCGTGTGCAAAAACGTTGTCATGGGCAACCGTTCGCAGTCACGTGCATGTGATATTCTCAAAGTTTCACTCATAAGAGAATGAGAGTGCTTTGTGGAAAAACCGTAAATCATTGGCCATAGAAAGCTTTAATTAATTAGTAATGCGCAAAAGTTGAAAGTTCAAAATAAGTAGTCCCAAAAACCAGTATTATTTTTAAGGAACGCCTTGATTACAATTCCTTTTGTGACTATTTACTATATTTGAATGGACGCTAGGCTTGGTAAACAAAACATTCATATCTATTTAAGTTAATAACGCATATTACATAGCTGGATAAGTCATAATTTGTTAATAATTGCAGAATATTGTTCAAATTAATTTTTATAATGAAAAAGTTTAACACTTAGTATTAATTTTTAATCCTGAAATACAAGTTATATAAAATTATCATATTAATCAAGATCTAATGCGCATGACGCGATCAGCGGAATTAGGTCACAAAATGTGGATGATCAGTACAAAGTTAAAACTACCAAACGGAATCACACTTTAAAATGTATAGCTCAAAAATTATTATAGCAAAAATTTAGGTTTAGTTTTTTATTTGAAACTTGCTCTATATAACTGCAATATTTTATTTTATTTCTTTGGAATTTTCATTACTTTTTACCGAAGTACCTAGTTCTAAACATAAAGTTTAAATTGCATCACAACGTCTCGTCTTCCACGCCTTTTATCATGCGAATTCAAGTACGGACGTCGGGCCTGATTAACGAACGTCGCGGGCCGGATCCGGTCCGCGAGCCGTAGTTTGGCGCCACCCCCCCCCACCCCTGCTCTTGAGGTGATCAGGTCTATTGGAATCGTCAGCATTTCATCTTAACTGGTTGACAACTTATGTACTGTGTCTAACATTAGATAATGACTTACCCAAGAGTAACGCTAACTAATGACTTACCCGGTGTAACGCTAACTGATGACTTACCCTGCAGTGTAACCCCAAATAATGACTTACCCAGCTTAACGCTAACTAATGACTTACTCGGTATAACGCTAACTATATGACTTACCCGGTGTAGCCCTAACTAATGACTTACCCGGTGTAACGCTAACTAATGACTTACCCAGTGTACAGAATGGCTAAGTCATAACCCAAAAGGGCGTAGGAGTTTTGCTGGCTCAACCAGTTCTGAAATTGGACCTTGGCCACCGCGCTGTCCACTACGTAGTTTGTTCCAGGCAGAAACAATGTGATGACGTTTGTGGTCTGGTGTGGACAGAGGCGATTGTATTGCCGATTAGTTGGTGAGTCGTACGTTGATGGGTGAGTTGCACGTTGATTGGTGAGTTGTACGTTGATTGGTGAGTAGTATATTGATTGGTGAGGGGTATATTGATTGGTGAGTGGTACGTTGATTGGTGGGTTGTACGTTGATTGGTGAGTGGTATGTTTATTGGTGATCTACATCTTGATTGGTAAGTTGTATGTTGATTGGTGAGCTGTACGTTGATTGGTGAGTTGCACGTTGATTGTTGAGTTGTACGTTGATTGGTGAGTTGAATGTTGATTGTTGAGTGATATGTTGATTGGTGATTTTTATGTTGATTGGTGAGTTGTTGTATGCTGATTGGTGAGTTGTATGTTGAATGGTGAGCTGTATGCTAATTAGTGGGTTGTATGTTGATTGGCGCATGTTGTTGACTTCAATGTTTATTGCACTTGAGTGATTACTGTATGTTTAGAGTTGTATCGTGATTGTTGGATGTTGCTTGTTCATTGTTGGAAGATGAATGGTGTTTGCTGTACTTTGGTAGCTTTACATAGGCTGTTGTACGTTGATTATTGTAAGTCAGCTGTCGTATGTCAATTGCACAAATGTTGACTGCTCTGTATTTTTGTGTGCATACTGTTTGTTTGTTTTTCCATTGTTGTATGTAGGGAGTCGATAGCACCTTGATGTTTGCTCGTTGATCGTTGTTGCATTTGTTATATCTTGTGAAGTGTGTTTTGATTGTTTTTACTTTGGCTCGTGTATAACTGTTTTTGTTTTTTGCTGGTTTTTTTTGTTTGTTTGTTGTTTTTTTTTGTACTTTGTATATTGATGGGCGCATTCTTCTCTAGTTGCTAGTCGCTAGTTGCTTATGGGGCGGCTGTTATAGTTTTGGTGGTGGTGGTGGTGCCCGTGCTAAACGTGTCCCTTACTTACCAGGATATCCAACTTTCTCAGCTTGATCCCAACGGTGACGCCGGTCAGGCCTGCTAACATACTGTCAGCCTGGGGGGAGTTGCGATTAAACACATGAGTTGGTTTTTTTCTTTCTGACATTATTTGTCAATCTTTTTAAGGGGAGTTGCAATCGGAACAAGTGATTTGAACGGGGCAGTTGTTAGTCTTCTATCTCGTATATAACTACAAAAATATGGTAATATAACGTTCATTGTGTATTGGTTGGCAAGGAAGTCTATGGTTGATTGGCAGAGAAATTTAAGGTTGGTTAGCAGGGAAGTCTATGGTTTGCATGGCAGTGTATGGTTGGCTGGCAAAGAAGTCTATCGTTGGCTGGCAGAGAAGTCTATGGGTAAACATAAATTGGCCGAAATAGATACAACATGGGATTAAATGACAACGAGATAGTGTCGTTTAAAAGTGAAACACATGCATAGATAGAGGGTGAGAGGGAGAGGGAGAGGGAGAGGGAGAGGGAGAGAGAGAGGGGGGAGAGAGAGTGAGAGAAAATAGAGAGAGAGAAATTAATAGAGACAGAGAGACCGAAGAAAGAAAGAGAGAGAGAGAGAGAGAAAGAAAGGAAGAGAGGGAGTGAGAGAGATAGAAAAAGCGAGAGAAAAAAATTATGAGATTGTGAACGAGAGAGAGAGAGAGAGAGAGGGAATAGAGATACAGGTAGGAGAAAGAGAGAAAAAAGAAAGAGAGGGAGATACGTAAAACAAATAGAGAGACTGAAGAAAGGGAGAGAGAGAGAGAGAGAGAGAAAAGAAAAAAAGGGCGTGACAGTAATAGAGATAGAGAGACAGAAGAAAATGAGAGAGAAATAGAACGAAAGAGAGAGATTAAGAAAGAGAGAGAAAGAAAAAAAAGATTGTGAAAGAGAGGGAGAGAGTAAGAAATAGAGAGACAGACCGGAGAGAGAGAGAGAGAGAGAGAGAGAGAGAGAGCGAACTAGACAACACATACCTGATTCAACACATAGTTGATGTCAGCTCTGACGTTCTGTTGCGCCCTCTGATACTTCACATTGTACGTGTCACTGGAGGTGTCTAGTTTCACTTGGCTGATCGTGTAAAAGTACATAAGCAATGCGTCAATCAAGCAGGCCACAATTGTATCGCTTAAGGAGATTTTTTTTTTTAAGGTACATAATAAAAAAAAAAAGAAAAAAGAACGAACACGTTAAGTTCTTTCCAAAGTTTATTCCTGCATGAATTTGCAAGGGTGCTTTTTACATGTGTCTTCTATTGTGCTCTGCATATGCCTTTCGTTGCGCTACATCCGTCTTTCATTGTTCTACCTCCGTCTTTCATTGTTATACATCCGTCTTTCATTGTTCTACATCCGTCTTTCATTGTTATACATCCGTCTTTCATTGTTCTACCTCCGTCTTTCATTGTTATACATCCGTCTTTCATTGTTCTACCTCCGTCTTTCATTGTTATACATCCGTCTTTCATTGTTCTACATCCGTCTTTCATTGTTATACATCCGTCTTTCATTGTTATACATCCGTCTTTCATTGTTCTACCTCCGTCTTTCATTGTTCTACGTCCGTCTTTCATTGTTCTACATCCGTCTTTCATTGTTATACATCCGTCTTTCATTGTTCTACCTCCGTCTTTCATTGTTATACATCCGTCTTTCATTGTTATACATCCGTCTTTCATTGTTATACATCCGTCTTTCATTGTTATACATCCGTCTTTCATTGTTATACATCCGTCTTTCATTGTTCTACATCCGTCTTTCATTGTTCTACGTCCGTCTTTCATTGTTCTACGTCCGTCTTTCATTGTTCTACCTCCGTCTTTCATTGTTATACATCCGTCTTTCATTGTTATACATCCGTCTTTCATTGTTCTACATCCGTCTTTCATTGTTATACATCCGTCTTTCATTGTTCTACATCCGTCTTTCATTGTTATACATCCGTCTTTCATTGTTATACATCCGTCTTTCATTGTTCTACATCCGTCTTTCATTGTTATACATCCGTCTTTCATTGTTATACATCCGTCTTTCATTGTTCTACGTCCGCCATTCATTGTTCTACGTCCGTCTTTCATTGTTATACATCCGTCTTTCATTGTTATACATCCGTCTTCCGTTGTTCTACATCCGTCTTTCATTGTTCTACGTCCGCCATTCATTGTTCTTCATCCGTCTTTCATTGTTCTACATCAGTCTTTCATTGTTCTACATCTATCTACGTTCTTCTACATCTGTCGTTCATTGTTCAAACCATGTTTTTTTTTCTATTATTGTGATTTAGTCCCCAGTCTTTAATAGTCCGCAGTGCCGCCCCCCTCCCCCCACCCGTCTTTGACAGCACTCATTCTTCCACCCCTGTCTTTGGATTGTCCTACTCAATTCCTTCTGGGCATCCCACAGGTTCTGAAACCATCTGGAGCTGTGCCCAAACTCTTGGATCTGGTGTCGACCCCCCCCCCCAGACTTTAAACATCTTTACATTTATCCTCTAAACATGATTGAAATAAATTTGAGAAGGAAAGGATAACTCACTTTAAAACAAGGGCGCTGTCCGCCACAACGTAAAGTTCCAACTCATGGGTTTGTGCTGGGAAGACATTATATCAATGGTGAAGTTGTTATGAACATGGCGTCATTTATTGTTACAGTGTTCATCACTCCATTATTCTATATATATATATATATATATATATATATATATATATATATATATATATATATATATATATATTATCGATCGTTAAAGCATTCACTGTTATACTATTCATTGTTATATTATTCATTGTTATACTATTCATTGTTATACTATTCATTGTTTATCTGTCCTGACAGGCCAGTGTAAAAATTCACTCATGCTCAAACTTAAATTCTCAAATCTATTTACTTTTAAATGTATTCTGTACATTTAATTAGCTGTGTTTAATTTTTTAAATTTTGTTTTATTTTGCTGAGGTCACTGTTCCAGTTCTTTGTTTTCCAGAAACTTGAATGGATTTTTGGAAACGATTTAAAAGGGGTTAGGCGAGTTACTTGTAAGACATGCTATTTTACCCTTATCAAATGAGAAATTTATTTTATATATTTTCTTTTTTTTTTCAAAATGATTTCTTTAAAATTATGACTTAACAGGATCCGAACTGACCTTGGCATTGAGTGAAATGCAAAAGGGCAACTCCGAGAAGCGCAAAGATGGTTTTCATTCTTTGAGTTACGCTGTGCTGTGTACCGTAGTTCAAGTAAGTCAGCTGCGGTTGGTGGAGCTCTGGAACTGAAAAATAACAAAAAAACGGATACAAAAATATTGGAATGTGGAAATGTTTTGACAAGCCTCGGCTTATATACATTATTATTTGTTTTATTCTTAGGTTTATGAAGAAATATTTATGGCGTAACAATTATCATGTTATCCTTTTTGTATAGTAAAGATACCCAAAAGGGTAAATTATTGCATAGTAAAAATATAAAAATAATGTAAAATAGTTTGTGTTAAAGATACCAATTAGATTAAAATATTGTGTATAAAGATACCAATTAAGGTAAAATATTGTTTATAACGATACCATTTAGGGTAAAATATTGTGTGTAAAGATACCAATTGGGTTAAAATGGTGCGCATAAGGATACCAAATAGGGTAAAATATTGTATATGACGATACCACATTGGGTAAAATATTGCGTAGTGTAGAATCACGAAATTTGATAAATTAGGAAATGAATATACCTTAAAGGGTCAAAGACTGCATTACTAAGAAACCCGCAAGAATAAAAATCGCTCATTCAAGTTGGATATTTTTGAAAATGTAAAAGGTTATTTTAAAAACTGCAATACTTTTATATAGAAATTTCAAATAAGTTCTTGTTTCTATGTGAACATCGCGCCCACGAAACATCGGAAAGCAACAGTGTACAGAGTGGTTCTAGCAGCGAGTTTTCTTAAAAGCTTTCCTTTTATATTGTTTAATTGTTGTACTTGAATGTTATGGACATGCATTCTTTTAAGAATACTTCTTAGTGAATTTCACAGAAGAAAAAAAAACCGCTACCTGAAAGTCCTAGAAGAACAACACTAACGAAAGTCTACATTGTTGAAATGCTGAGAAATAATGATTTAATGGATAAAATGTGGTAAGGCTATCGCATTATGTCATAAAATTATCGTTTTAAAACTTATTGTCAATAATTTTAAGCACAAAGCTGACGGTGTATATATTATTTTATTGAGAGATTTTCATCGAACCAATGATTTAATGGATAAAAAGTAATAATACTAGCGCATTCCGTGATAAATTTATAGTTTTAAATATTGCAAATAACAATTTCTAGCACAAGCTGGTGATGTAGTTTTGAGAGATTTTGGTCCGATGTTTTTTGGGGTTTTTTTTTTTGTCCTTAATAAAATAAATTTTAACAAAATTTAACACCGCAAATCTTTCCATTAATGGTGAATGTACGAGGCTATTCTTTAGAAGCTATTGAATGTCTTAAGCTACTGGCGCTATTCTTTAGAAGCTATTGAATTTCTTGAGCTACTGGCGCTAAACTGACTTAAAAATATGTCCGAAAATATATGTCCAAAAATATGATTTTTAAATATGTCCGAAAAATTTGAATTTAAAATTTGACCGTCATATGATCTGTAGCCAGACTCGCCCATATATTATATGGACTTGACATTAAAAGACGTGTCTTTCGCCCACCCTAGCTCTACTCACCTGGTTCGGGCTCAAAACTCAGATTGCTACTGGTGAAAACTTCAGCACGTTTTATACTTATTTGAAACAAAAGTTTTGGCCAAAACCAGATTAATCTTGTTCTATGTTTACCCTTATTATTATTCGACCTTTCGATTACTAATTTTTAAATTTAATTTTTTTTTTTTTTTTTTTTTTTTATATGGCCGGTGCACACATGGCTCGTTGTGTTAAAAACTCATAACAACGTCACGCTACCCGGTAGTTGCTTCTGATTGGCTGTCCGAGATTCAGGAATTCATCCGGGTCTACAGACTGTCAAGTGTTCTTTATATTTTTTTTCCTCTGGAATATGCCAAGACCACCAGGTATTTCCAAGTCAAAAATTGAGTGACGCTCCTCCTCCTCATCAACCTACCTCTCCCCCCGCCAACCCGACTCTCCCCTCCTCCTAAACATCCACCCACCTCCACCCCCCTTCCCATCATTCAAGTGGATAAGCTGCGCGTATCATATATTTCCATGGTCACATGTAATACCGTTCAACATTTCCAAAGAATTTTTTCGCGGCTTCCTCGTTTGGCCTTTTTTGTTCCAGGTTTTACGACTCGATACCGGATTGACGACCTCTGCTCCTGGATGGCGGGTTCATGGTGACATTGCTCAACCATTTCCAGGGAATAATTAGCACAGTGTCAAGCTGTCTTACCTGGTTAGGTGTCACGTTGTCCTACCTGGTCAAGTGTCGCGTTGTCCTACCTGGTCAAGTGTCGGGTTGTCCTACCTGGTCAGGTGTCGCGTTGTCCTACCTGGTCAATTGTCGCGCTGTGTTACCTGGTCAGGTGTCGGGTTTTCCTACCTGGTCAAGTGTCGGATTGTCCTACCTGGTCAAGTGTCGCGTTGTCCTACCTGGTCAAGTGTCGCGTTGTCTTACCTGGTCTAGTGTCACGTTGTCCTACCTGGTCAAGTGTTGGGCTGTCCTACCTGGTCAAGTGTCGGGTTTTCCTACATGGTCAAGTGTCGGGTTGTCCTACCTGGTCAAGTGTCGCGTTGTCCTACCTGGTCAAGTGTCGCGTTGTCTTACCTGGTCTAGTGTCGCGTTGTCCTACCTGGTCAAGTGTTGGGCTGTCCTACCTGGTCAAGTGTCGGGTTGTCCTACATGGTCAAGTGTCGCGTTGTCTTACCTGGTCAAGTGTCGCGTTGTGTTACCTGGTCAGGTGTCGCGTTGCTTTACCTGGCTAAGGGTCGCGTTGTTTTACCTGGTAAGGTGTCGCTTTGTGTTACCTGGTCAGATGTCGCGTTGCCTTGCCTGGTAAGGTGTCGCTTTGTCTTACCTGGTAGTGTCGCTTTGTCTTGCCTGGTCAAGTGTCGCTTTGTCCTAGCTGGCTAAGGGTCGCGTTGTCTTGCCTGGCTAAGAGTCGCTTTGTCTTACCTGGTAGTGTCACTTTGTCTTGCCTGGTCACGTGTCGCGTTCTTGTATCTGGTGAAGATTATCGCTGTTGTATCTGACCATTATATCTGTATCGCATCTGGTGTCCTGTGTTTTTTTATGACTTTGCCTTCTTATACTTTTTTTAAAAAAAATCATTTCGGCTAAGTGTCTCTGTCTTCAGATCCACAGCTGTAGTGTTTTTTTTAGCCGCTTAAAGGTGTCTTAGCAGGGGAGGACTTTCTAATTTGAAAAATAATCGGGGCCCTTATTACAAATTCATTTATTTATTTATTATTATTTTTTGGGGTGGAGAGGGGGGGGGGTGGGCATTGGTCAAACAATTTAATAAACACATTTTGCATAAAGTTTAAAAGCCGCCTTGCATATTCAAGATTCATTGTCCGCCTAAACGAAGTTAAAGCCGTAAATGCCACATTAAACGTCGTAAATTGTTCTCCTCGTACTAAGCGTTGATCAGAAAGTTCATTGTCTTATAATAATTATTATTATCATTATTATACACCTGATATCAGCGTTGTTTGGATTGATTGTTTTGTTATCTTTACTCATAGTTTGTTTGTTTTTCCAAATAAAATCGATCTGTGATCCTATTCAACTCTTAGATTGCTGAATAAGTCGTTCCGCGTATTATTTTGGCGAGATGATTCAACTTTTTAATCTTTACAAATTTTCCGGATTAACAGCAGGGGCGTCATTTCACTTTTTTTTTTAAAGGGAGGAGGGGGGGGGGCAAACCAAAACTTGGTTGGCTTGTTAAGTTGTTTATTACTGGAGGCGCCACATTACCTAGCAATTAAAATAAAACCTGCAAATTTTCCGATTGGGGTGGGGGGGGGGCTGATGTCCCAACATGCCCTACCCAAATGACGTCCTTGATTGACACACGCTCTCATATATAGATATATATATTTTGTCTTTTTGTTTTGTTTTTTAAGTTAAAATTTATCAGGACAAATTTTAAACCCCTCTCCTTGCTTCTTGAACATTTTAATTCAATTCATTTAAATTTATATACATAGAAGGTTACCGGAAATTTGATCGAAAGAAATTTCGTCGACGGTAATTTGATCGACCGGAAATTTGGTCGAATCTTTTTTTTTCAGTTCACAGGTTAAAATGTTCGTCAAATTTCTTTTTGAACGCACTATACTTTATAGTAAAACAAAATATTGCGTTCAAAAAGACATTTGAAGCAAAATTTAAACGTAAAAACGGAAAAAAAAGATTCGACCATATTTCCGTTCGATCATATTACCGTCGATCAATTTACCCATCGACGAAATTTCTTTCGATCAAATTTCCGGATACGACATAGAAGGATTGCTAACTACTTTTCCTTGGGTCTAATCTCTCTTCCCCCCCCCCCCCCCCCCCCCCTCTCCACAGAAACAAACTCCCAGAGTACCCCCCCATCCATAAAACACACCCACCCATTGCCGCCCCTCTATATCAATGAAAGTACCGCCCCACCGGTGCCCCCCCCCCCACCTTTTTGGTATTCAAATGCATGAAGTGAGGTGAAGATACAGAGCAAAGGATAGGTGTATTCATTAAAAAAAAAATTTTTTTTTAAAAATGGACGCAACCTATGTATCTATCAGAGGTAAACATTGGTTGAATATAAGCAACTGAAGTCCAAATGAACAACATTGGTTGAATATAAGCGACTGAAGTCCAAATGAACAACATTGGTTGAATATAAGCAACTGAAGTCCAAATGAACAACATTGGTTGAATATAAGCAACTGAAGTCCAAATGAACAACATTGGTTGAATATAAGCAACTGAAGTCCAAATGAACGGCACATTAAAACATGCACGCGCTTAAGGAGTACAAGACTATAAAATGCTGAATCTTCGGTTAGTATCCAGTTGGCCCCAAAAATAATATGTTTATTTGTATTATTTTTTCATGCCGATTGCGATCTCTTCGGCAGCTAAACTTAGAGAAGGATAGTATTTTTTTTGTTTTGTTTATTTTGGTGAAATGAGATCTAGTTTAGCCTGAAGTATCCCTATTTTAAAGACACAAATTAATAAAAAAAATATTTAAAAAGTTTTAGAAGTCACTGATTTATGATTCATCGCGGAGAGGAAGTATCGGAACGTCAGCATTATTTTTTTTACGCTGTATTTCATTCCTTTATTATTATTATTATCATTATTATTTGAACCATACATGTCTTTATTCCACGGTCCACGGCACTTGGTTTGTTCAAGCACTCGCTGCATTATTCAACAGTTCTCTCCACGCGTCAGTGACCTTTGCGACATTGCCCAACAACTCTCTGTGTGCGTACCATAGACACAACAAGTCTACTGAAATTATTAAGTCGACAGATTCGTGGACACAGAGCGTCGGGGGCTGATGTTATGCTTGGTTAACAGTTGGGAGGGGGGCGGGAGGGGGAGGCGTCAGACTGTCATCTTTCCTTAGTTATAAATCTAAATACATGCTGTTTACTTATCTATAAACTGATTTCTTAAATTCTGTTTTGGTGCGTGCTGTTTGTTACATGTCGTCTGTTACGTGGTTATCTGCTTAATGTTGACTGTTACACGTTAAATGTGAAATGTGCGCATTCAAATGATTGCGGCTCCCGATTGAGACACATTTCTCCGCTTGCCAGGTCTTGTCTTGGTGCACTCCCCCCCCCCCCCGTAACTGATGCTACATCCTGGAACCTGTCGTGGTGTCACCTTTAACGACCGTTCGCCCCCCGCTAGAGGACGTGCCATTCAGCGTGACCATTGAAATTGGAGCTACTCCAGACTGCAAAAAAAACAAAAAAACATAATAATAATAATAATGGTGATAATAAAAATCTAAAACCACTGCCAGAGGGCAAGGAATTTGGGCTTTCTGTGTATATGCCCAACGCCCCGGAGGATTTAAAAGATACATAAGAAGGGGAGTGTAGTCTTTGACGGTGAATGGAGATGGGATGTGGGAGGGGATAGGGAGGATATGGGGAGGGGTTAGGGAGGGGGTAGGGAGGGGATTAGGCAAGGTATAGGGAGGGGATAGGGAGGGTAGAGGGGGGGGATGGGGGGGGGGGAGGGGGGGGGTAGGGGGGGGGGGGGGAGA